TTTCTTATTCTTTTCTTTGCATTGTGATATCCACTACTGGAGATGTGATAAAGGGATTTGTGAGCCAGGGCTTGCACAGAGACCGCAGGGAGGTGTGACTGTCAGGGAGCGATTTTGTTTATGGTGTTCTTGAGGACTCTTCTTCTTTCTTCTTGGGTTACTTATCAGCTACTGTTTCATAATTGAAAAGCAACTATCCATGACACTTTTATCGCGGGAGCTGTCTTTAAGCCGTTTCCTACCGATCGTGCGTTACTGACACGGAGTCTTAACAGGGAATTTTGTGATTGCAATGAACCGCTCCTCCAAAAAGAGTTTACAACAACCTTTGAGAAAAAGTTAAAAAAACTTTATTCAAGCAGAATCTTTTCCGGACACAAACGAGTACAAATGAACGGGAGATAAGTACTGTATCTATTTCAGTTTCAGTTCTATGTTTTACAGCTATTCGATTCAATTTTGGATATCACAGTGAGTCTCACTGATCTGCAAAGGTATCACCACGAAATCCATTACTATCTACACCTAATACGTATGACTGTCGAACCTAACTACATGGTCTAATGAGCTGGGTCACTCGAGTTGCAGGGTATCTCGGGTGCTGCCTTCTTACGGCATTTTTTTGGGAAGTTTGCTAAACCATGAGGATTGCTCAAATACGGAAAAAAGTAGCAACAGTAGTTCAGAAGTAGTAGTAGCAACAGTAGTTACTAGTATTAGTTTGCAAGGAAATGGAGATTCCTTGGAAACATTCCATTGCGCAACAGGGCAATTAAGGTTTAAAAGATGAAATTGATACTAGAAATACCTAAAACTAGAACTAAGCCCTTCAGGATCGCTTGAGAAGTGGTGGCAGTTTCGCCCGAGTGACTATCCTTATATTCGTACAACTGCATTGCAAACTGGAGAAAATGTAGATTGACCGACCCACAACTGGTACGCCCATGTTCAGTAGCCCCCTAGTTCGTCTGATGGGCTGCCACGTTGAGTGAGTTGGTTCAGCGAATGGCCACGCTTGCAGCGCTTTTTTAGCTACCTTCGCCGCCGCTACGATGTTCTGGATCATATACAGTTTGCCTCGCCGCCAGGGCCTCAAAACAGCACCCTCCCCTCATCTGCCTGGCGTCAACTTCTTTGAATGTTAAAGTCCTCCCTTATGAAAGAGGAACTCCGCTCGTGTCAGAAGTGGAGGGAAACATCTACAATGTCACGAAAGCAGTATAATCAGCTTACTGTTGAGATGTAAAAACAAGCGGAGAGCATTAGTGATGACAGCTTGCAGAATTTATGTTCACAAGTTGCGATCATAGGTAGACATGTGCTGTGGCAGAAGGCTCCGATAGGAACCTGATCCACTTCTACGATGTTGGTCTCTAAAGGGCATTTCCAAACCAAGTGGCACGATAAATTCCCAAGTAGGACTAATATGCCTAGCAGGACAGGATTCAGCGCCTCCCTGAGCAGGCGTGGCGTGGCGCCTCTGCCGAGGGATGTACCTTTATAGCGCTCTACCAAGCTGCAACGCACCGATCGTACGCCCCCGTGCTCCCGTCGGAGGGATGCTGAACCATTGTGCCGCTTAATTTTCGCATTACAGCATGAAGTGAAAAGCTGATATGAGCTGCATCGATATTTGAGTACACTCATGCACTCATATCTACCGTCTCATTGGCATCGTACCTAATGGTACGATGCCAATGAGAAACTCCTACGAAATTGCTAGATTCAGGCAGAAGGCAGAACAAAGATTTTTTTGCAGGTTTTTGACCGTTTCACTTCTTTTTTTTCGCCATTTTTCCACTATATAACAGCCCTGCCATCATATAAGATCGACTACGAAGTTATCGTGTGGCCCTTTGAACCAGGACTCATAAAACCCATTATAATTCTACTATGCCATCGTACACGATCCAATTCTGGGACAATTCTCCCATAAAGGGTAGCTGCTCAGGCCGCCTCCCCTGAGAAGCAAAGGACAAAGAGACAGGTAGCACCCCTGCCACCATTTAGGACAGATCATATCGTCTATGCCCTCAAGGAAAGGGAGAGTCACTTCTCCTCATACAACCATACAACCCTAAAAAGGTCGTTCTAGCGCTTGGTTCGAGGAAGGGAGCGAATGAGAAAGTTACAGTTATCTTTGAAAACATACACATGAATACCAAAAAAAAGTTATCAAAACAACGTGTCTCAGCGTATTGGGCGACGATCTAACAGCATGCCATCAGACGGTTTCACAGTGAGGATAGCAGCTACTGATGTTGGAGAGATCCAGAAATGGAATGATTTTCGCCATTTCTGGATATATAGATCGATAGAATTTTTCTGCGCGTCCCAAGTGTTTCCTGAAATATATACTGTCATCTCCATATACTTGTCAAACTGTAAGTTTCATCTCTCGTTATGACAAAATGTTTTCAGAATTACATGTACGAATTACAACTTTCACGTTTCGAGGACATTGTTAGTTACATACTGAGACAGCTACTCATAAGGGGTAATAAAACTGTTGCAGTATTCCTACTGCGATTTGCTGTGGATGTGGGATCAGGATTATACAACATCGCACTGTATTTCCTGCGTTCCAGCGTAGAGGGGATCATACTCGACTCCGAGATAGACGAAGGGGGGTCTATCATCAGCTAGTAGCGCGAAAGTGACTGCAAGGCAGCAAACGATCGTTTTCCAAACAAAAGTTGCATTTAGAATGTCTGAACAAAAGCAATTCCTGCGCCTCTGCACGTCAAGAAAGGAAGCATGGCTGTGAAAAGTTGTAGTGTTTGGTCCAGAAGCGACGTCTCATCTGTCGGACAAAGTTACTATTGTTTCATGTGCTTCTAAACGTGACCGAAACGATAGGCTCGAAAGCGACGAGCAAGATTATCGAAAATAAAACTTTGGATAAAAAGGATTGGATCGACTCTAACTGAATACACCTCCTACCACTTGAAAAGTTTTGTAGAGTTTCCGCTGCATTCGACCATCTTCACGTACTTGGTAAGAACAGTCTGAGTGAAAAGAGACTTCCGCAAAAGCATAGGAGCGCGAAGTAGACGCATCACTAATTTAAGGATCGTGATTGGTAGCTCGGAAAACTGACATTTTCTGGCTCATCCACTCAATAGCCAGGGCCTTCTGCCGTTTGAGCGCAATTCTTTTCTGTTAATGAGCTCTGCTTGACAGAAGAAAATAAGCGATTCCTACAACTTCCAGAAAGGGTTTTCAGCTTCTTTGTACTACAACGGAAGGAGCCTTTCGGTGAAAGGCATGCGTTCTCCGCGTTAGGGAAGAAACGAAGTCACTAATCAGGAGATTGACTAGGCAATATTTCCAAACTGGAAGGGGATAGTGTCAGTTTTATGATAAAAATTCATCCGTTGTCCAAAAGGGCGTTCCCAAATTACCTACAGCATATGTTTCCTCACCTCCCATTCTTTCCAGTCATGTTTAGTACTTCTTGGTGTAACGACGGATGAAAGCGGTGGCAAGGCGGCACGCTCAAATTAGGGAAACAAGCGCAGTAACGTATGATGGACCTAGCTTGCTGCATTTACGGTACAGCTGCTCAAAGCCGCGATTGTGGTCTCGTGCAGAACCTATTAAGGAGACGCGCGAAACTACCATGTTTACTACTCTCTCCTAAAACAAGTTGTGGCCCACCTCTCCCCACCCCGCGACTGAGATAGCGTCTACGTTGAGACTGTAGACCCTTTCCTGTCAATAGATCACTGTTTTTCCAGGTCGTTCCAAACATTTTTTTCGGTGCAAGGTGGCACGCTTTAGTCGCAGTTTTGGTGCCGCGACTCCTTTATTCTATCTCCGCACAGAACTCTGAGGTGATGGGCACAGCGAAGCACATCATTTGCTTACAATATTCAATATTCTCTCCCATTCAGTAAAGCAGCGCTGCGGAATGATGCAACTCTATATCGATGCTATTTTCTGAGTTCAGTCCTACTTCAGTTCTATCAGCCAACTCAACCACCCTGTCTTTTGTATGTGCGAACGGTGCGAATGGAATAACTTCAATTAAAGTATAGGATAAAACTAGCTCACAACTAACTTCACTTCATCAGCAGTTCTCCGTTTCGTACTGTTCCAGTGCCATCCACGTAAGCCAACACCACATTTTTCTGGATCAATGACTTTGCTGAACGGGTGGTACTTCTGCAGCTCGTTGGCCTTCCAACCATGGAACATGAAGTCTGCGGGAGACCAACTAGTAAAAGACTTTTTACAAAATGACCAGCACGTAAGCACAGTGACCTCCAAATATCTTTGCAAAACTAGTCTCACAATTTCAAAATTAGCTACGTGAATTTCGAAGACAATCCTCCCCAAAAACAATCAGAGAGTATAGGCGATATTCATAAAAGTAGTCGCTAAAGTTGGAGCGCAATCTTTTCTATAGCGCACTGACTTCCCACTGACGGAATGTTCATCCCAACTTGCGGATTTCTCTTCAGCTCTCTCTCTCGTGAAAAGGATGCAGCTTAGAACAGTAGAACATGCATGATGTCAGATATGGGATTTTTCCCAGCGATAGAACAAAATATTACTTTTGCAATTTTTTGCAGTTCCTACTTATTGGAGAGAACAGTTTATTCGAGGACCGCAGAGCGCTTTGGTCACGAGGTCCTGAACCAATATGTTGATGACCCATTTTAATTTCGCTAATGAATAAGATTTGCCGAGGTTTTGATGGAGCAAGGAAAGAGCGCGAGAATGTATCTCATACACGGCAACTCTGCAACAACTTTGTGAGAAATCCATATTATATTGGTAGGTTCACATTTGAATCAAACTCTGTATGAATGAAGAAACAAGTTCAATATTAACTCACATTTGGTCTGTATTCCACCCATCACGTACAAATCCATGAGCTCTATTATAGATGCGAATCTTGCCAGGCCAAAACCGTTTACTGCCCAATGCTAACCTCACACATGTGACCAATTTCATATAGGATGAATAGTTTTTCGCTGCTTTCCATAATTTTTCACAAATATTATACTCGTTCTTCGCTGTAGGAATGAGGAGTTCAAGGCAGGTTAGCTGAAAATAGGACAATTAAAATGTTCCTTGTCACTTAGGTGTTTCTAATGAATGTTGTGACGCATGAGTTGAGCAACAAACAGGGCTGGATTCGCATCTGACGCATACTTTCGATGCCTGAATGCTGTTGTAAACTACGTGAAATATGGTCATAATGATGTGCTGCTTACGACAAGTATTAGAGAGTATGGAAGTTCCTCGACGCTTAAGAGCGGATAGATTCAGCAGTGATCAGATGGCGGAGAGGATCGTTGACTTGTGCTCCTGGTTACCGACTACAAGTTTATCAGAAAGGGGCCACCTCCCATGTTAAAAAGGCAACGATCGCACTCTTACCCCTTTATGGTGCAGTTGCTGCGGTAGATGCTTGTGCTTCACTTGCTGAGTTTCATTATGCTTACCAAATGCATATTTGTAGAGTAGCAAGTATGCACATAGGTCTACAAAGCATGTGTCGATTCTACGGTGCATCGTCACGGTTGCGTGAGCGCGACATGTGACACCGCAGCCTTTGCATTCGTGCTCTGCTGTCTCAAAGCTTTCTTGATTAGTAAAGGGATCCATTTTATTGCTACTCTAAAAAATGCGCTGTGAACAACGGCGAATTCCTTACTGCCGTGATAGCTCGTGTGTATACGGCAGCGCAGCGCTTTGCAGATGTGGCGCCACTCGCTGTGTGCGACATGAGCGGATGTTAGCTCACCGTAAAATCGACTGTCCAGGTTCACGAAACAAGAACATGATCTCAAGGAATAGGCTTGTTGGCCCTGTCAACTGCCAGAGCTTCGAGTGACTTGAGAAACTGATAGCGAATAGTCGTCATGAGGTGTAATTGGTCATCCTGATTACGATTCTGACAGTTATTGTTGGCGCAGACGCCATTGGCTGTCAGCATGATGCTGAATAGCCCCCACGATTTCGGCGAGGAGACCAAGATGTGCATAAATGGCCACAAAATTACAAACGAGTGCTATATTTGTGAACAGGCATTGCTGATTCCCCCACCCCCTGGGTCACACTTCAGCACACATTTCCTTGGTTATGTTCTGAGATAGTAGCAGCTGAGTGGGCCGGAGGTGATGTAATGGCGAGTAGCATGCTCACCCCGCGCGGCCCTGGGATCCCATTTGGGATAGGCTTCCAGTCAGGCCAAAAACTTTGATCCTTATGGGACGCTCAAATGGCACCATACTCGTATGGGAGAATAAGAGCACTGGTTTGTACATTGGCTAGCCCCATAAGTCATTGTGCCACAGCGCACTTCAATGAGCCACTCTGAATAGAAGTTGAATCCGTGCGCATTTTTTCCATCACCTTCAACCATTCATTTCTGCTAACTCTTAAGCTACTAGCTGTTTATCAGACTGATACGTAACGGCGGCTGCGTTCCTGGTATTACCGTTTTGACAATGCTATAATAACGTCTTTGTCCATCCGCACAGGAGGATCAATGCAGTGGTCTTGTATAAAAAATATCCCACGAAGATCCATCCCAGCCCAAATCTGAATAGAGTAGGCAGTTACACCCTCCTCATAGAATCTTACATTCGCTTGGTTCGCCATATTAGAGCCAAGCGAATGCAAGATTCTTATGTGAGGAACGAAACTATAAACCCGTGCCGGCACGAATACATATTGCCAAGCACTACAACTACGAATCACTTCAGGACGTATTCACTCTGAAGCCATGAAGACAAAAGTGCACTCACCTTTGAGAAAAGTCCTTTTCTATTTGAGGAGCAAGGGTCCACAGCTCCAGCGCTATGCCTCATCTCTGTTCAAAAGTGCAAGGGATCAGGGACGAAGGGTAGTGATATCATAGTAGTAGTATAGTGCCAACTCTATGTGTTTTAGCATCGATACCAAGATTCCGCAGTGAAGTTTTCATTCAGCGGTAGGTTCAAATAGAAGTGAGACAGCGCAGACAACTAGGACCTTTGGCTTCAACTCGGGGTGTAGCTGGGCATGAGGCAGCTCGGGCAGGGTATGTAGAGAGCACACAGTGATCACTAACCTTCACCTGTACTGGTGCAGTTTTAATGGGGAAGTCTATCACCTACTTCAACCATTACAATGATCAGGAAACACGGACGAATGTGCAGTTTGTCTCCAATTCAAAACGCTTATCGTAAGCTCTATCGAAACCGCGCGCCCAAGAAATTCTTCGAGAATTCAAATGAAGAGGTGTCGGAGGACCTTTACTTTTAGTGAGAAACCTGAAGCAGAACACCGAGGATTTGAAGCTAAGCCGAATTCTTCACTAGTTTGCATAGCAATGGTGCAGAGCAGTAATTGCATTACGAAGTTTGCTTTCACTTTTACTGATTGAAAGGCCTCTTATTGCGATCAAGGTGAGCCTAAGGTCCAGGAGTTCTGAGAGCCGTTGTCGCCTTCCTCCTCCTGCTGAGGAAAACGATTTAAATCAACCGGAAAAGTTGGTAATACGCATGCATGTGAAGGTCCAGGCTACCAACACTTTGAGAAGGGCTCAGGAGTAGTAGTAGAATGGAAAAGGGTTAGGGATGGTAACAGAACTAAACTCCCTAAGATTGAAGCTGCTGTGAAGAAGACAACAAAATTTACCATCAGTCCACTCTGGTCATGACCATGCCACGAAAAGTCATTTTGTTTGAAGTTGTAATCTGCCCATGTGCGAAGGAACTTGTAACCAAATGGAGAGTTCCTCACCTGAATTCACAGCAACAGAATGATTCTAGACTTCTGGTGTCACCGAAATCCTAAAACTTTCAAAAGTCTGGAAGACTGAAAAAAAATTCTTTAAAGAAACAGTGCAGATTCACGGGGCGATGACCATGCATTGTCGTAGGTCTGGACATGCCTGCTTGCGAGCAAAAAATCATCGAATACTGGGCTCAAAATAAAAGCACAACTTTATGATGGGAATTGTTCCGAAATGAAAACTGCACATTCACAAAAGAAAGAAAAGTCTAACACCCATCATTGTGAAAGCATGGAAGCATGGTGGCTGCAGATTGTTCCTGACCAGAAGAATGATTTCATATTCGAAATGAATGAAGTATCCGTCCATACTACGACACAGGACTGAATCGAGAGAGCGCAGCAGGAAGACCAGTTTCCGATCTATCCAAACATTAGTACTTTCATATCGATAATTGTCCAAACTGGCCGGTTCCCTGGCTCTTCAGTTTCTCTCCTATAAAACCTCGCATAAAAAATAATGCGGGTTCAGGAATGGGTTGCATGTTGTGCCATTGCCGATGTTTCCCCATGAGCGTGATTCAGTGAAACAGGAGATTATTTGGGGGTCGTTTTCTTGACAGTGTACCTCAGCTGTCGTTGGAATCTTTCCGAAATAATGCTGAAATTGGTTTTAATCAGTGATCGATAGTAATTAGTGACTACCATGTGTTCCATGCTCAACAATGAGGCCTTCCGAAACCAATTCCGTCCAGTGAATTTTCTTCCTCTAGGATTCTGCTGAGACGCGCCAATCAAATCTCATTTGTATGACTGCAACTGTTTCATCGTGAGACCTTTTTTCATTTGAACCACATAAATGCTTCCTGGCGGCTCTCGCCAGCCTTTCGCTGCAGCTTACGATTCTTCCCGACTACCTCGGTTAGGTGTTTGTGATCGGTGAGAAGGCGCTAGCAACCTCACACGAAGAATGGAAAGTGCTGATAGCGATGAAATCAAACACTGTTGCTTGTTGCGCGCGCACTCAACGAAAGGGCAATTCTGATTGGTATCCGTAGAGGGTAACTAGAAGAAGAATGCGATATTTGAAGAATATTGTGTTGAAGGCGCAAAGCTACGTTATTATTTTACCGAATTTCATATTACGACAATGTTTTGAATGTCTTTTGATTTCGTTTATATTTTTGAGCGATGCAAATTAGATATCAAATGCTCCACTTCCAAAAAAGTTAATGAGAGACACGGAAGGAAATTCGACGGTGTGACGCTTAGAAAAGCGCTACGCTGTCAACCTTCTACTAAAACATACATACCAGGTAGTTGCCAGCGGAGAATTCATAACTGAAAAAACGTTCGATTAGTATAACGCTGACCCTGTCATCAATCCATTCCTCGATGCAGTGGTTCGGATTCACGACACCTGGAGTAGTGCACTGAAGTTTTCAGAGGTATGATGAAATTGCCCCTATGGTCAAAAATATTGCCAAAAAAGGCCGCGTCCATATTCCGACTCACGCGATTTCATCTCGCGTGACTGCAGCCGAGTGTAGGATCCACCGATCAGAGTTCGAGCACCGCCCCTACTGATCACGTTGAAAATATCCCTTTGAATCGTTACAGGTTTCTCGGTGCTGAAGCGAAGATCAAAGGCACCAAATCCCTCGGTTAGGGTTGCGAAGTATGGACTCGACCTAGTAGTAGCGAAACCTGTATCAGCATCTAGTACGAGCATCCAATCTGTTGTCGGCAGGTACTGAATAACTGCACAATGCTTCTTGTAATATAGCTGAAACAATATGGCAAAAGCGCTGAAAATAATAATATGCTCACCAGGAAAGATCAACAGTTCAGCCTGCCCATTTGCAATGAGATGCACATCCCTGTACTCATCTTGATGCGGTGAGCTCAAAATTTGCGGAACGATTCTCTGAGCGGAGTTATGGAGGTTTTTCTTTACTGTTTTTCTTCTTCCGGGCGCGCTGGCGCCGAAGCGTTGGCACATGTAGCGCGACTCACAGCGCTCTTCGCGCAAAACAGGTATCATATTCGTGTTCAGGGTCAAATAACCCCTAGAGACGTCACCTTAGCGAAATCTGAGTTCTGACTCAACTTCGGAGAAATGGGGTATGGACTGTCATTGCTACTAACCAAGGGAGGTCGTTCAGGACGTGGCGCGCTTTTTGAAAACGGTTTTTGCATGATGTGGGGCACGTTCATGGACTACCAAACTGACGTTCATTTTTCCTAAATGGCTCTTTGAATACCAAAAAAGGAGTGAAAAAGAATGTATGGAAACCGATTGGTTTTGAGCCTCTATGGGCTCCAAATCACTTGCAACTTTGACCAGTTGCTGAGTGGAGGGTCCTTATAAAGGTACTATAGGAATCGAGGAGGAAATAGTCATGAAATGGGGTCTTACTTATGGCACGTGATCAAGAGTGAGCGGCTCCTTGGAATGGTTTCTTCAAGGATCGGAACGGTGTTCAGCTACAGCGACCGGATGGCCTAGTGGATAACTTGGAGGATTCTCAATTAGGCAGTGACGGGTGGGTGTTGATGGTTCGACTCCTCTAGGCGTGCGAGCTTTTGCATTTTTTAGTTTCGCTATTTTCGCTTCCATAAATGTCTGTGCATGAGTATGGATATTTGCCATTTATGGGCAAATTCTTAACGGTAGTACCCCGTGAGTCGGTGTTATTCTACTATTACAATTTTCTCACACCATTAAGCAAGGCTGCTACTGAAAATTGATTTTTATGTGTAAGTAAGTGATATGATCATTAATATGATACTTAACTTTAGCTGTGGTGCCATTTTTCTCCGATTTGGATCCACATCATTCTCCCACTGAATTCATTATGTACACCCATAAAGGGACGTTTAGCGCTACTCTGCCGTCAAATTGCGTCAGCGCCAGAAGTAAGTGTCAGAATCGTGATCAGACCATCGATTACCTCTGCAGACAAAGTTCTCGACCGAAAACAATTCTTTCGACTTTTTCGTTTTGTTGCGGACCATCTGGTCGACGATGATGACCGGAGTCTCACACCTTCGTAGCGGCGATGACGTAACGATGACGTAGCGCGCCGCCGGGCAGCCGTATCGCGAATTCGCTGCACCAAAGGTCCTTCCATGCAGCTATAAGCTCGGATGCATGTGGAATACGTGAACAACCATCGTGGACCTTTGTCGACCCCTAGCGGCTACTCGCTCGACAAAGGCTTTATTCCCCCTACCGACAGAACAGATTCATTCAACTTTCTCCACTTTCAAATGCACCTGTAGAGATTACTAAATTTTTCTTTTTTTCAAAGGTGTTGTTCTTGTTGTTAGCTTCTATTTATTTGTCAGTAAATAGGAGGGTCTCAATGACAGGCAGAGCACGACTTCATCAGAAAGGCTCGTGTGCACAACTCAACACACAAACCCAAGAAGGGTCGACAAAATTTTTCGGGCGAAACTATGTCTATAGGGGTAATCGATGGTCCCGATCACATAGTGAAAATGTGGGCGGGAGAGTGATGTGGATCCAAATCGGAGAAAAATAGCACCACAGCTAAAGGTTAAGTATCATATTAATGATCATATCACTTACTTACACATAAAAATCAATTTTTAGTAGCAGCCTTGCTTAATGGTGTGAGAAACTTGTAATAGTAGAATAACACCGACTCACGGGTACTACCGTTAAGAATTTGCCCATAAATGGCAAATATCCATGTTATACTCATGCACAGACATTTATGGAAGCGAGAATAGCGAAACTAAAAAATGCAAAAGCTCGCACGCCTAGGGGAGTCGAACCATCAACACCCACCCTCACTGCCTGATTGAGAATCCTCCACGCTATCCACTAGGCCATCCGATCGTTGTTGCTGAACACCGCTCCGATCGTTGAAGAAACCATTCCAAGAAGCCGCTCACTCTTGATCACGTGCCACAAATAAGACCCCTTTGCGACTATTTTTCTCCTCGATTCCCATAAAACCTTTATAAGGACCCCCACTCAGCAACTGGTCAAAGTTGCAAGTGATGTGGAGCCCATAGAGGCTCAAAACCAATCGGTTTCCATACACTTCTTTTTCACTCCTTTTTTGGTATTCAAAGAGCCATTTAGGAAAAATGAACGTCAGTTTGGTAGTCCATGAACGTGGCCCACATCATGCAAAAACCGTTTTCAAGATGCGCGCCACGTCCTGAAAGACTTCCTTGGTAAGGGCCAACAGCGATATTACGAGTAGCCTACTGGAGATGACCGGTCTTCGAGCTGAAATAACTCTTCAGTCATGTCTTTTCGCGAATAACAATACCTGGCTCACTTATTCGTGCCGTCTGCATCATTTTCCTGATTACCGGGAGGAAATTCCATCCCGAGACCAGTCATCGATGGTAGGTGAGCTCCAGTCTGCTGCTAATTACCCATAGAATAGCCCACATTTTCCAAGTTAGGTCGAAATATCAGATTTTGGCTAGAAACTTGTCCCCAGGGGTAATTTGACCCGCTGAACATGAATATGATGGTATTTCATTGCAAAAACCCTTGTGACATGTGTTACGAGGGGGACAAGCACAAGCACTCTTTCAGGCCACAATGGGTCTACACTTTCGAAAAAAACTGATCGCAGGTTTCCTTACAGGATAGTGCAGGCGAGCAGAGATGTTAGAAGCTTTGTCGGCCATGTTCTTGGACAACGAAAAAAGTGACCTGCACGGGAACCGATCCTACGACGTCTCGCCTAAGAAACCCGCTCGCTACCCGTTGCGCTCTACTACCACGTTTCAGAACGACTCCATACATAATGTAAAGACGCTTCCACGTTTCCTCGCGATAGCATGTGAAACGACCACGCGGGGATAAACCCTCCATAACTCCGTTCAGAGAATCGTTCCGCAAATTCTGAAGGTAGATTTGAGTTCACTGTCCCAAGACGCGTACAACGGTGTGCAGCTCATTGGAAATGGCCGGGCTGACCTGTTGACCTTTCCTGGTCAGAACAAAAGCTTATTCTTAGATTGAAGCCAGCAAGCATTACTCAATATTTGTGATAGAAAACATCTAGCGAGTATCCTCTGGAGCATGACCATCACGACTGTAGGGCAGCTTAATGATATAAAAACTGCGCCGGTTTTTAATCACATAATATAAAACTACCAGTTTGGCTAACGCGCAATACTGCGCGCATGGTTAAACCTATGGTACTGATCACTGAGTGGGTTTCTCTGCTGAGCACAACACTTGGCCCAATCCATACGGCCCATTTCATCGTGTTTCTCCCTTTTAATGAACATTTGCCAATGACTGGGCTTATCACGTTTTTGACAACACTCGCCATTCGTTGGAAATAGGAAAGCTTAGCGGTTGAAAGAGTTTCGGGGGTAATAACAGACGCAGAGTGAAATGTCCTCACATCCTAGTACATACCTTAAGCAGCTTTTGGGACTTTTACTTTTTGTCGAAACTCGAGAGTTTAGCGGTCGAATCAATTCCGACTATATCGCTAAGGGATAGAAACATCTTGGCTCACTAAGCCTTTGCCCACAGTTTCTTTGGCCATGGTGATGTGACCATATACGGACTCCTAAAAGCCCTTGTCGGACACGACCTGAACTTATCTCCCACTACTAATGTTACCTATGCACCCCTGAATTACTTGCTGGAGGCAATTCTCCAGTGTGGCTACTTATAAGCTGTTATCACGTCCTGCCACCAACCAATAATGTTCCCATCTTGCCCACTATCTTACTCCTTGGAACCGAAGTCCTAGCGTCGCTGTGAAGCACGTTATCAAGTTGATGACCCTTCGCTTCTAAGACTCCTTATGGTATCTTATCATCTGTTATCACTTCCTGCCACCCACCACTAATGTTCCCATCCTGCCCCCTATCTTACTGCTTGGAACCAACGTCCCGACGTTGCTGTGGCCGGCGCTATGAATTTAGTGGCCCTTCCCTTCTAAGGCTCCTTATGTTATCTTATCAGCTCTTATCACTTCCTGCCACCCATCACTAATGTTCCCATCCTGCCCCCTATCTTACTGCTTGGAACCAACGTCCCGACGTTGCTGTGGCCGGCGCTATGAATTTAGTGGCCCTTCCCTTCTAAGGCTCCTTATGTTATCTTATCAGCTCTTATCACTTCCTGCCACCCATCACTAATGTTCCCATCCTGCCCCCTATCTTACTTCTTGGAACCAACGTCTCGTCGTTGCTGTAGCCCGCGCTATGAATTTGGTGACCCTCCCCTTCTAAGACCCCCTGTGGTATCTTATCAGCTCTTATCAGTTCCTGCCACCTACCAATAGTGTTCCTGCCCGACCCCCTACATCACTTATCAGTTTGAGCGCTCTATCGCTCTTTTTGAAGGAAGTTATGAATTTCCGGTCAAACACACATACAGACACACAAACATACATTCACACACACACACACACCAACAGAACAAACTTAGCGGATTATATTAGGTTGTTCGAAAAGTCCTGCGACACTTTGTTTGAACTATTCTAGAAAAAGACCAAAAATCATTTTGAATGTTTTTATCTCTGATTAGTGGAGACTGTCTCCTGAGGTTTCTGAAAATGGGTATATCATGGCTCCGTGGAAGTTTTCAAAGCTTAAAAATACCTCAAAGATCGAGGTACTCCTCGACCTGTCCCATATTATGAGTTCCTGTAGGGCAACTCCCCCATAGTCGAGGAAGCTAACTCTTACGTTGTCTTAAGGAAGGATATCGCTTGCCATAGCAGAGAGTTCCTTTTGCATCAGCGCTTCCAGGCTGGACTTATTCAACTCGGAAGTAGGCAATGTATAGGTCGGCCACCAGCACAGAATGACGGCCCTTTACTCAAGCTTCTTGAGGCGCAGCCGAACGTAACCACCAGTAAGTTGGCAACCTCTCTAGGCTCCACCTAACTGACAACTGCCATGCTTCTCCGCAGTCTCGGTTATCGGAAAAATTTTTATGAAGGATGCCTCATGAGTTGAACCCCTCTGACAAGTCATACCGAATGACCGTGACTGAGTTTTTTTTCCTTGTACACACTGGAGGAACATTTGTGAGATCTTGTGGTTGGTAGAGAGTGGTGGGGTCCTTGCGTACATCTTGCACATGTTCCTCGCAGGATCTCTCAACAGAAAAGTAGATTGCACAGCCAAAAGCAGATGTGCATGGGATAAAGATTTCAGTAGGTTATTGGTGGGACTTCAAAGCGGTATCTCTGGATACTAGCATAACGGTAAGGACTACAGTCCACTCTAACCAACCTCACAACATGGATGACGTCACGCTTGAATTCTTCAAAAATACTCAATTTTTCTCTACCGCTCGGCAATGCGAAGACCGCATGTTAGGATCAGGCCACACCAAAAGATCGTGGATCTTGATCTGAGAATGCGACCATACCCAGCTTATTCATCAAAGTTAGCAGTCTCTAACTACTACCTTTTTTGATCCCTACCGCATCCTTAAGAAGGCAAAAATTCCGAAAATCGACGTCTACTCAAAAATGAGGTCCACCTCTTCTTCTTATCATAGTTGCCGTAGTTCTATAAGAATGGAAATGAGAAGCTGTGCAAAAGAAGGGCACTAGTCCTAGTCCTTAGTGGTGATTACCTTGTAGATTGGAGATGTCTTTTAGTGACTGAAAATTTAGTCCGAAAAATTGGTCAAAGTGTCGCAGGACTTTTCGACCAACCTAATATATAGTAGGATGACTTCAAGACATGCCGCAGTATGACCTCTACATGTTCCAGTTTTTGATATCAATGCGTAATCTCGTTGACTCGAGCTATATGCTTCCTCTTTCAAGTTTGCGATACTATTACCATTTGTAGTGCGAACTATACAAATATCACACAAATCATTTTAGCTTTGCCTGCAAGACGTCAATTCTTCATCAACAAGGGAATAGAGTAAGCTGCTCAGGGAGCTCCAAGAGTATACCTAGACATATCGATAAAGAACTGGATGTTGACTGGGAATAGATGGACTAGAAGTGCACGGAAGTTCTCCCATCCCACATGGATCGTGTCTTGCTCAAGTGGGATTACACGGAATTACTTAACATCAACGAGAATCATTTTCTCTTCGATGAGAGGCTCTTACTCCATCTCTACACAGTCGTTCAAGTTAACGTACCAATAGAGGCAGGCTAGGTATTGAAATATGGCTCTGGAAATGACTAACGAAGAACTGGGCGTCGTCTATCTTCTGCGACTCCGCATTGCAGAGTTTGGGTCAAAAGTCTCAGCTTAGCCGGAAACTTGTATACAGGAGTGGGTCGAACTTCTCAACGCACCACATCCGTTGACGCAAACGAAACGGGGTTCTCCATTCAGGTGCTGTCGTCTGTGACCTGGAAATTCACTGTGGCCGACATCTCTAACGTTCTCGCCCTAGATGAGCGTCATGTTCTTCCTCCCAGTTTTTTGTTATGATGACTGTTGTTTTATGTCGCAGTTCGCGTTCCGAATGTTATCGCAAGATTGAGTTATGGGCAAGCGTCGAACCCGCACCCTCACGCTTTCGCTATCCGTTACGCCACCAGGGCCGCTTTTACCCTCTCAGCTCAACGGCTTTTATGCCGTAGCCTTACAGCACTCACACGTTTAACTTGGTGAGCCGGTCAGCCGTAATCGTTAGATATCGGCATGAACCGCGAGGCCGAAGGCTTTACAAGTTTTTGAAGCTGTTTTATTATGAGCTGTTTTACGCAGCAGTTCGCAGTTAAAAGCGGCCCTGGTGGCGTAACGGATAGCGCACTCGCCCGGAAAGCGTGAGGTGCGGGTTCGACTCCCGCCTGGGGTTCGACTTTTGCCCATAACTCAGCATTCTTGAGATAACTTACTCGAAGTGCTGAACCATTCTTGACAACAGCTTTTCAGGAACTTCGGTGCTTTAGCATTTCGCGCCGAATGGATGTCTAGTCGGATTCAAGAGGGTTGCTGTGCCTCTACCTCAAACTCCCTACCCCGCAGGGGATCTTTCTGGTCAAAATGACCGGAAATGTGGAATATCCTTAGGAGTAACATAGAACACAGCATTTCATGTGATCTGTCACATCAATCTCGACCCACTCGCTATTTAGAGTCACTAGATCAGAAATTCGTAGAAAATTAGAGAAAACGTTCTTCTCGGATACAAAAGCAAATATCGTGCATAGGAAGTCGAGCGAGCCATTCTATTCTAGCCTGTAAACTGAGATCGTCTCCAGAAGGCAATGGCGGGACTTGCAGCCGACGGGTCACCCTTGACACGAGCTAACACCGCGTTTTCAGCAATCGTTACTGCATAAACTTCGTTCATGAGCTTGCTTCATTGCTTTTATTATGCGTGTTCGCAATCAGCATTCAAGATTCTACTGATATACTACTAGGGATGATCCTTAGTCGAAGAGGCCATTTTTTACCAGACTTATACCAACAGACGTGACTCTTCACGCTGATTTAAACTGTCATTGAAATTTGTAGAACGATTCCCTGAGCGAAAATGTGGTGATTTTTCCTCAGCGTCTAGCAATACTTCCTTCCTCCCTGAAAAATTGTTGTCTCGTCACCGCTACATCAGTGCTCACCTCAACTCGCCTGGAAAAGAGTTTGCCTGCAGTTACTACTGCACTTGGATGCACTGTGACCGAGATTAAGAGTCGGGTGCACAGGTGCCCGTGGTGCACGCTACAAATCTTTTCAAATGCTAAACGAGTGTCAAAGTGCATTGCAGAGTCTGGTATTTTGACACGACTTCGGGAAAGATTGAGCACTCATGGGGTGCAGTTCAATTCATGTTCACACCTTTTCGGCTAGGCAGGTACATTCTCCTGCATAAAGTCACATATTACCATGCAATGAGCATTCATTCTGCTACTGCTCCAGTTTGCCTGATGACTGAAAACAAGTTTCGTCCGAAGTCACCGGCCAAGGGTGACAGGTTGATCCTAAAACCACTGATGACATCATCCCTAATTGTTGCCTCACATTTTCGAAGCTGTCAGAAACTTTGATTATTCTTTGAATTTCTACCCTGAGGCAGATTTGCCCTGCGAGTACGACTAAGCGAATCGTTCGGTGCGGGAACGCTGCGAGAACCTGTACCGAGATGATTTCTTGTAGGGTGCAGGCGCCTAAGCCTGCGATAAACCTTCTAAATTCTACCATCATCTGCTCTCATTGTAAGTGACTTTTCTGTTCAATATTTTTGTGTAGAATATAAGAATTGCTTGTAAAGTATTGAAGAGATGAAATCGAATGAGAATGAACGAAAATAATCCATAACTGGGGCACATCACCTATGTCACCGATTGGACTTGCGAAGGCAGCCATATCAACGCCTAGGGTCTATTCTGAACTTTAAAGTGACTTTCTTTACAAGATGCGAACTTTCCCTCCGTCAAAACTCAGACTTTCACTTCATGACGATGAAGCAGCATTCTTACCGCCATGCCATGACGTCGCTGGCAGTGCAATCGCTTCGTGGGTTGCACGTAAACCGCGCTTGGTTGTGTGTCCCTACATTCCAGCAGACCCTCGAAGCTCCCTTCAGAGAATCGTTCTGCAATTTTTGAGAACAGATTCAACATCAGCGTTTTAAAGACGTCCCGCGTCTCACTGGAAATAGCCACTGCGGTTTTAGGATCACCACTAGTTAGGTCTCCATGCGAAGATCCGGTTTTAAGAGTTGAAACCATTCGTCATTAAGAAAGGGCTTCTAAAGCAGAGCACTGATCACCAACAATAGAAACCTTGAAATTTTTTATATATATTGTTTGAGTGTACCGATTTATGCCGACCGCATGACTCGTTCACCACTCGATCCTTGTCGAGGTCAACAAAAAGCACAGTGTAGTTCACCGTTTTCAAATAGCAGTGCAGACTACGTTGAGCAACAGCGTAAAACCTGAATATTTATGCATCAGCGTGACAGCGTATTTTTGTTTTGCTTCTTATTTCACAACTTTTTGTTCAATGAATCCACTAGCAATCATCTTACGTATCGAAAACCCTTTTTCTATTTCACAGATTAGATGAATCCTTTCCAAAGCTTTTGTGCTAAGGACGGATTCCATAGCTCATTGCAGTGATCATGTTCTCAGCGGCTAACACTGTACCGCCGATTCGCAATAGATTTTAGCCCATTTGCTCACTGTGCTGTCGCCTAAAGTATAACGAAGACGATCTGACTGTTTCACGTGGATTTCACCAGTGAGCGCTTAACAGTTCTATGTCAGCATCTAACAAAGGAGGTTCGTCGTTTTATCATGGGATTTTGGACGGAAACCTATAAGTCTGTGCCTCCGAATATGGAAATCACAATTGCTACCTGTATCGCACAAGGGTAACTCATCGAGTGTGCAGGGAAAAGGTCACCGGGGCGCGAACGCCTGACAGTTCTTTGCTGAACCGATTAATGTTTATGTTGTAAATATAGATCTGAAGAGGAAATATAGATCTGAAGTCAAGCTAGGCACGAAATTTGGGTCGAATAGGGAATTTGCTTAGAATTGTAGGATATTTCACCAAAGAGCAGGGGTAGTACCTTCATATTTAGGTTGGAACGAAAGTCCTGGGACACTCCGACTGAAATGTCTAGAAAAGAATCTAAAAACATCTTGAATATTTCAGCCCTGCTTGATGAAGTGTATTCCCTGAGGTTTTGTAGACGGACATATGGTTTTTCGGAAGATTTCAGGTCTTAAAAGCCCTCCAAGGCTCAAGGTTCTCCTCTTTATAATTACTTTTAATTGATTAAGAATTTTATTCATAGGCTGCAGTAAACTACTGTGACAGCTAATTGAAGCAGCTCCGCAACAAACGAGGCAAGCCATAAAGCAAGTCTAGGGTATTGATTTCAGCAATATCTGAGGTCCATAATATGAGGTGATGGAAGTGGTGTGTGTTAGTCAAAATAGGACTGCCCGACCTCGGATTAGCAGAGGGCGGCTAGAGCCGCCGAAGGCGACCGATCACTACACTGAAGATGGCAACATGTTTGGGGAGAGTGCAAGGCCACAGCTATGAGCTACAACTGCGCGACACAACCAGCAAAGAATGGATTCACACGATTTTAAATAAGCGCTCAAATTGCAGCACGATTCGAAATACAGCAGCACAGCGCACTGAAGCATAATTGAAAACACCTGGACGAATAGTTTCCAGCATTGGTGGAAGGTGTCTACCAAAGCCGTCATGGATGAAGAGAAGTCCAAATTGATAGAAATTGCAGTATATCAGGGTGGAAGGAAATTCCAAACAACCCGCTCGCTCAACGCCGTAGGCTCAGCCCTACGCAAACACCCAAAGTTGGCCGCAAGTTAGGCTGCATTCATTCCACGGTATCCCTACAGTCTCGCTTGTCAAAAAATTCGCGATGGATAACTCATAAATAGCACCGGTCTTCGAGTGATGCTGCTTCACATTTTTCTCCACTTTGCACAGCGAAATATTAGGTTGGCTAATAAGTAATGGCCGTTTTTTTCAATTGAAAAATTTGTTTCGAAAAGTGAAACGTTTTGCAAGCAAGTTATATATCATCTGATAGGAAACTTCTCGTAGTATAAGAATATCAAAAAAGCTTTGGTTGAGGATATAGTTTTTGTGAATTTTTTAGTCGTTGAAGTTGGAAGTGAAGTCGGCGAAAATCTAAGAGTTCATCGTTCGATCTTAACTGAATCAAGCATGATGAAGATAGATCTCCAACGTACTCGTCCTTGATCTTTCCATCGTGGGCGACAAAAACCGTGACTTTTCCAAAAGATGGTGGGCATGCGTTCATGTTACGGCGTTTCGGATATTTGACATGTCTAAATCTGAAATAGGTTGAGACAGTTCTTTTATTAATTGAATTTTTTGCAATATTGCAAGAGTTTATCAGAAACGCAAATTTCAACGTGACGCTACTGCATTCGCATATGGTTCAAAGGCGGAGCCCGAGTTCAGAAATGATGAATTATGCAGCTCATGTAGTACTACCACGGTAGCAATAGACGCAGTAGTGAAGAAACAGCCAGAAAAAAAATTGCGATGGAGGCCCTACATAGAACCTCAGGTCGAAGTGAAGTCGTACACATAAGGCAAAGAGCAGGAGCAATTGCACCAATTCTCACCTGTTGGCGTCAGCTGTTTTTCTTTATCACCCCATTCTCACCATTTGAACTGTAGAGAGTTGGTAGCGGAACAACTGCACCAGCAGGCAACAACTGGAGAACCTAGGGAATTGTGGCCTCTGGTGGGCAGGGGCGGACAGAAGCCATTACAAGAGCCGGGCGGCGCTTCCGCTATTTTTGAGTTGCGATATCAGTATACCCTCCATCCATAAAAGCAGGGCTACGATGTCCAAAGA